TTATTATTTATTTGACAGAGAGAGATCACAAGTAGGCAGAGAGGCAGACAGAGGGGGCGGGGGAAGCAGGTTTCCCACTGAGCAGAGAGCCCGATGCGATGCGATGCGGGGGCTGGATCCCAGGATTCTGGGATCATGACCTGAGCCAAAGGCAGAGGCTTTAACCCACTGAGCCACCCAGGCACCCTGATAACATAGCATTTTGATTCTTGCTACAATGTCATGGCGCGATGATGGGCTCTTTCTGATAAAATGCTTCTGTCTTTGCATCTTTTCATTCAACAAATAACAACCAGTGTCTGTGTGCCAGGCACTATATTAAGTAGCAGGGATTCAATGATGAACAAATCAGACCTGGTCCCTAGCCTCCAGGGCATTTACAGTTTAGTGGAAGATCGACTTAATACCAAAAATTATACATGATTTGGGCACACTGAAAGCAAATTAGTCTGGTGCATCAGGGAAGATTTCCCTGAAGAAGAGATGACATAGGCATTTCCCTGATGAAGAGCATGGGGGAACTAGAGGGGGAGAGATCATTAGGTGGGAAGGCTTTAAGGGAAGAAAAGAATGGGTTATGTTGGAGGAACTACAAGAAAGTCTGCAGAGTTGGAACACAGTAAACTAGGGCAAGGGTGGTCTAGCTTATAAAGATGCAGAAAAAGCAGGAAGGAGCCAGATTATGCTGAGCTTTAAGATCCTGGCAGGACATAAAATGGACTAAGGGATGGAGAGTATGTATGAATACTGGAAGACTACCCTAGAAGCTATTGGGGCAGTCCAGATGAGTCTGGATGTTTGGACTATGGTGGTGGCATTGATGACAGAAATACACAAATTTAAAGGATATTTAAGATGTGCAATAAACATGATTAGGATATTGATAGATATGGAATGTGTGAGAAAGAGACAAGTCAAGGATGATTCCTAGATTTCTGGCTAGAACTTGGTGGGCAGTGGTGTCATTTCTTGAGGTAGGGTATGCTGATAACGACGGTTTGATGATGGGGGAAGATGAGTTGAGCTTTAGGATTTGTTGGGTTTGAGTTGCTTATGAAATAGACAAGGAAAGTTGTCCAGTAAAAGGATATATACAGGTAGAATTTTAGAAGAGTTCAGGAGAGAAGTACAGGTCAGAAATGCCCTGCCCAAATTTATCACTGATCTGGGGCTTGGCTGGGAGAGCCTAGGAAGTATGTACAGAATGAGTAGAGGGCTTTTGGGACAAGACCTTGAGAATCTCTATCAAGTTGAGAAGAAACTTGGTAATAAGAAAGAGTGGTCAGAGAAGTACTATGAAAACTAGGTATGACATCAATTAAAGGAAGAATGATTTGAAAAGGAAGGTTTAACTTTGCTAGGAAGAGTAGTAAAATAAGAACCATAAGCGATCTTATTGAGCATTTTTTGTACAGTGGTGGGAATAGAATCTAGATTAAAGTGGGTTGAGAAGTGGGAGGGAGGTGAGAAATTGTGACACTTTAGATTTGGCTGTTAAAGAGGAGGAAGGCAAAAGGTCAGTATCTAGAGGAAGACATGAATGAGATCATGCTTCTATTTATTTTTAAAGATGGAGAGATTTAATACATCTGTACATTTAGATGCTGATGGAAAGGAGCCAGCAGAGAAAGTGGAGGATGATAATGATAATGATGGTGTGTGTGTATGTATGTGTGTGTGCTGTTCGCATAGGTTAAGGGATTAGCCTTTCGCTGTGATGGTCATTGCAATAGGAGTGAAAAATGCTCAGAAAAAGGCTATAGGGGGGCGCCTGGGTGGCTTAGTGGGTTAAAGCCCTTGCCTTCAGCTCAGGTCATGATCTCAGGATCCTGGGATCGAAGACCACATCGGTCTCTCTGCTCAGCGGGAAGCCTGCTTCCCTTCCTCTCTGTCTACCTGCCTCTCTGCCTGCTTGTGATCTCTCTCTGTCAAATAAATAAAATCTTAAAAAAAAATTTTTTTTTTAAAAGCCATAGGTACAGATAGGTTTGTAGATTTGGTGTCAGGAAAGCTGAAGGAGTTCACAACACTTCCTATTTTCTCTCTGAAGTCTCAGAGCGCAGGAGGAGGTAAGGGCTTAGCAGGTTTGAGGAATGAAGACTGAGGTAGTCGCACTGGAGAGCGGGTGTATGAGCCAGCTAGCCAAGAACAACCCACTGCAGAAAACCTTGATCCAGCTTGCTTCATGGGGAAAGGGCTTTCTTCCAAATACAGGATGCTTCATTTGGGGACACAGAGGGGAAAGAGCCGTGAAGTAATTTTTTTCTCGTCTTTCAACACAAACTTCAGGAGCTAAGATTAATTTTGTCCAGGTTACTGGTAACTCCTCCCTACTACTGATACCGAAGTTGGCTACCATTTCCTCTGACAATCCGACACGATCGTTTCTCCCTGCCTAAGAAAACTTCCTTTACAAGCATTTAGCACCTGATCCTTCCATAGAGGATTTTGTCTCGTTTTTCCCTGCTTTTGTACCTAGTGCTCCTTCTGTGCTTGATTTCATTTACATGAAATGAAATTCCTTTAAGTCCTCTCTTGTATGAGATTCCCCAGGCTACTGCTCTTGTTCAGCTTCCATCTTTCATATACAAGGAATCTGAAAGGAAGTACAATGTAGGGCTTTTAAAATACATTAGATCAGTAGATCAATGTCGGGAGCTGATCCGAAAATGACCTAATACATAAAACGAAGCCTGTTATTCTAGAGGTTCTGCTACCTAGTAGTTAATTGAGATGAGAATTTCTCACTATTGCTTTCTGTGGTATGCTGGCTGAATTTATGAAATTTATAAAGTGAGGTGAGATTATTGAAACTATTCCAGCAAGGAGTTCTGGCTACCATTTCTGGCAGAGGGAGAAAGGAATAAGTAGAGAGTGTGAGGAGGGAGATGGAGGCCCTGAGTGTGAGTCTTGGCTCTGTCACTCTCGATCATGTGACTGAACTTCTGAGTTGGTTTCTTATCTATGAAGAGAATAATGATAGCTGGCAACATATAATTACATGAGATTATATAAATATAATATGTAGTAACATATATAAAGTAACTTGCACATTATAAAGTGATACAAAGATTAGTGTTGCCATTTGCAATCCTTGAGTAGTTTTCTTTTGTACATAATATCACACCATTTTTTACAAAGCTATTTAGTTGCAATATAGAACTAAGCTTTCAGACTTGTTGCTAGATTTAAAATGGGTAATGAGACAGAATGAGAATAGGTTTTAGTGTATGCTTTACATATGATATTTAATCCTTATGGTACCTGCTTAAACAGACTACTACTTTGATTTTGCAGATGAGGCTACTCGATCTTAGACCTGCCTAGGGCTACACACTTACAACAGCTAGGGCCTGAATTTGATGAACATATTCATGCTCCTCCTCACAAGCACATGTAAATTTCTTTATTTTCCCCTTTTCTGTTTTAAGTGATGGAAGAAAAAAAACAACCACACGACTGAGAAATTCTACTTTGTCGTTTCAATGAAATCTATATTAAATAAAACATATGGTCAATAAGGAAATAGTAAAAATTATAGTAAAAAATAATAAGGTACGTATCAGAAATATAATCCACTTGTGATTTTTAAATTATTCGGATCCAATTAGGACTAGGGGATATAAACTTTAATAGCTATCTAGCCAAAGGGGAGAAATATTTATGATTTGAACAGTATTAAACAGAAAGCTCACAGTGTATCTAAAACTAATGTAACATTGTCAGTTATACTCATATTTACAAAAAATAAAGAGCAAGCCCCCTCGGACTTATTTTTATTTTTGACCACTATTGATAGCTGGGTTTACAAATGGCGACTTTTCCAGATTCCATGAGACACAGGTTGGATAAGTCTGAATATAGTATGGAGCAATACTTCAGGGTATTTGAAACCAGGGAGGTTCAGTATAGTAATTGCTCACTCCAATTCTAAAAAACCTGCTTGCCTTTTGAATATTCTGAAACTGAGTTTTGCAGACTGGATTCTTATGACTCTAAGAGAAAAAGAAACACAGTACCACAAAAGAGCTTTTTCCAATCTTGTATCACAAAGCATCAAAAGTATATGGTCTAGCAAGGGCATAACCTATGGCTATTAGAGTACCTAGGGACATACTATAAGTAAACTCTTAAAATCTTGTTATTTATAATGCTAACACTTACAAATGGCATACTCAAAAGTTTTATAGAAGACTAACCTGCGGCACAGTCCAACCATGTTATGTATTCAGAAAAGAGAACCTCAGATTTTATCTTTTCTTTTTTTTTTTTTTTTAAAGACTACTAGTTTAGTTCAAAAAAATAATTTATTTCTGGGATGACTTTTAGGGAGTCAGGAAAGATTGCTCATATGGATTGACTTGTAAGAGAAAGACAATCTGACATTTAAAGACATACTCTGTGTTATCAGAACAACTTTTCCCAGAGAGACTCTGAGTCTTTCATAGTCTGGATACCTAAGCCAACAGTTACTGAAATGATATTGCCTTATCTTTATCCACACTACGGCCTCAGCCATCTATGTCACTCCTCTTGCCGTCCTTCCCTCCCTATTTCACCTCTATGGCTGATTGCCAGTTCCTCATCTTTTATTTTCCTGCTCCCATTTTTATTAGGTCTCTTTTTTATCCAAAACACGCTGACTTGGAATGGACATTTTTTTGTAGCTTTCTCAGGCTTTCAGTTTCAATTCACGTTCACTCAGCTTGCTATGTAACCTGTATTACTTACACTGTGTTTTCCCTGACTAAAAGGAACTGAGTTATTGCCTTTGTGGTTACTGAGTGGTGAGGTTATTTTGGGCCATGAGGGCTGGGGGCAAAGGTAGGCTGGGGAGGGAGGTGACATAAATTCACAGCTGAAACTAATCTTTGGTTTTCAAGCCTCATATGCACCGCAATCTAATTCTTGTTAGGAGTAGAATTAATGTGTGTACATTAATCTGTGTACGTATCATCTGCTTGTTAATTACTTGAAACTCAGAAAAAACACATCAGTGATTTAGGAGGGATAGCATTTTTTATTCTTGGTTCCATATTTAAAAAATAACATCGTTTCCGTTTTGAATTAAGTGGAAGGGTTGAGAAAGGTCACTTTTTCTGCTTTATAATTGCAAAAACAAACCAACTTAAAGTCTGCAAGTTTTAGATACAATAATATCCCTGATATCACCATGACATAACAAACCAATTCTGCCAGATTACAGATAGAGAGGAAAGGAAAAATTGACTATCAGAAAGCAGCAATACTTATTAGAAATAACAGGTAACCTTAGGAAGTTATCAGCTATGAGTTTTAAAGCCACAGAACTTTGGATGTTAAGGAAGGAGTGTATGCATGGCTAACAGACAAAGTGTAGAAAAGCTGTTATCGATGCAGAGCAGCAAGTCAACCCATCCACTGAGCAAACTAAAAGGTCCAGGAGCCATATATTTTAATGAAGTTCCTCAAGATTCCCCCTCTCTTAAAGCAGTCCAGGAATCAGATGGGGGAAGATGGGCTAACATCATCTTTATCAAATATCTGCAAAGGTTACAAAGATAGCCGGAAAGCCTCGCATGGCGAATAGAAGAGATACCACAGAAATGAGTATTTGATTCTCCCAATATTTAGATCTTGAATTAGGTTAGATCTTGACCTGCTTCTACCCGAAGCTTGATTCTTCTAGAATGTTCTTCTTGCGTTCCTTTAGATTTCACATATACTTGATTTCTTTAAAGATCACTGCTTTTCCTTAGGAATAAGCCAATGTGGATAAGGGAGACAAAAAGGGAATTAATAAATGTTAAGATGCGTGGTTTGAAGGTTTTGATACATAACTTCAAGACATTTTCACAGAGCACACTGCTCTCAAGTTAGGGTTAAAGTGAAACTTTCCATCTGGATAATGCAGAGGAGGACATTCTTCCAGGGAAAAATAAGAACATTAAACTTCCCTCCACTGGGTATCTTCCTTCAGGCACTGAGACTGCAGCCATCCAATAAATGGGGATGGGCAGAGAGAAAAGACTTCAAAAGTCACAGATATACTTTGATAGCTAATTTTTGGCAAGTCTGGCAATGAGATCTTTCCATTCTCCTCTTTTCTTTGTGATGTATGTAGGAGTGAGTAGCTGCAATAGTGATTCTGGCTGTTGCCTAAAGAAGTTCTGACACAAGGCCTCAGTGTTACAAATCACATACATCCCACAGTCATAGCTGTTTTGTTGAGCAGGGGCTTTTTCTTCCACAAAGGCCAGTTTGTCTCCTTTTCTGCCCAAGAAAGCTTCCAGTTTCTCTGCTACCTGCTTTGCATGGACTGAGTTACTTCTGCTATGAGAATCATAGTGAAAAAAGCTATTTTTATCTTGGACATAAACCAACAAACTCCAATGGGTTCCCCCAGCTGCCTCGTTGGAATTATCATTGATGGCTAAAAATAAAACTCTTTTGTTGGGGAGGTCCAGGGGTTCAAGGAACATGGCAATCTCTGCTTGGTTGCTAGTGCACTTGATGAACTGGGTAACTTCGGGGCTGATGAAGCAGACATGGTCAGAACAGTCATGAAACTGACTGTTGGCAAAGTACTCAAAGGCAAATCCAATGATATGGTCATTGAGCCAGCTTGGAGGATCCAATAGTGAGACATCTGATTGCCGCAGTAGACTGTCCATGTAACTCAAGACTACAGGGTCCATCTTGTACTGACCAGGGTTGATGAGAAATTCCAGAAGCTGAAGGAGAGGCAGAAGGTAATATTTACTGTTGAATATGATACCTGGGTGTAAAAGGAGGTCATAAATAGGAGCTACTCTTACAGGGTTTTGGTAAAGATTAAATATAATTGCAAAGTGTTCAGCAACAAGGCCTGACTAAGAGTAAACATTCAAGAGACCCTAACTTACGTGCTATATGTTAACAATTAGTTAGAATGAAAACTTTGGAAATTTTTCATGCTGAAACAATAAACATGATTAAAAAAAAAAGATTTTATTTATTTATTTGACAGAGAGAGACACAGCAAGAGAGGAACACAAGCAGGGAGAGGGAGAAGCAGGCTTCCTGCTGAGCAGGGAGGCCGATGCAGGCCTTGATCCCAGGACCCTGGGATCATGACCCAAGCCTAAGGGTCTGGGTCTTTGCCCAGTTGCCCAATGACTGAGCCACCCAGGTGCCCCAATACGCATGAATTTTTAATTTCCTCTTTAGAGGCAAAGTTTTGTTAAAATTATAACAAATATTTATGAAACTTCCTAGCATTAACCATATACTTATTTGTCCCTTTATGCATGATAATAATGGCAAATTATTTTTACATTAAAGTGAATTTTCAAAGAGTCTAAAGAAAAATGTTGCTCTTTAACAAAGGAAACAGTTTCCATTTCAACATTAATTTTAAAGAGAAAAGATAAAAATATTGCTTCCTCATTCCATAATGGAAAGTGACAGTGATTAGAGTTGTAGTTAAAAGGAACTAAAATTTCAAGAATAGAAAATTGTGAGAGTAACACAAATGAAAACCATTCCTGGTTCTGCCTGAGTTGCGAGCACGAGTGATATAATATGTCTTAGTTCACGTCCCATCTTTAACCTCAAGTGGTAAGATAAAGACGATGTAATTTTATAATATAAGCTAGGGGGCACCTGCGTGGCTCAGGTGGTTAAGCATCTGTGCTGGGCTTGGGTCATGATTCTAGGTCCTGGGACTGAGCCCCAAGTTGGGCTCCCAGCTCAGCAGGGAGTCTGCTCTTCCCTCTCACTCTGCCTCTCCTCCTGCTTGTGCTCTCTCTCTCTCAAATAAATAAATAAATCTTTAAAAATATATATATAAGTTAGAATTTTTTTGTAAACTGAAAGGTAGCTAGGCACAGGAATCAAGAGACCTGGATCTAGCCCCAGTCCTATCGCAAACTTTATATGCTTTTGTCCTTGCTTTTGTTGTCTGTGAAAAGGATATAGATCTGCTTTACATCCCTCAGTGAATTGTAGAAGAGGCCACACAGTTTTACTCAAAGGTATGGAGAGAATATAAAATGTTGTACCAACAGTATTTATATCATTAATTGCTATTAGTAAGGTGATCAGAAAATCTAGATAGCACTCCATACCAATGAAAGCAAATGAGGTTTGGAAACAAACATCTATTCCTCTTATCTTGTCCAAACAGAAGCATGACTAATTTAGAGTAGAGCAGGACAAATTATATGAGTTTTAAGATTAATATAGTCATGATCACCCAAGGTAAGGTGCTAACAAAGACAGGAAGTCTGATCAGAGTGGAGGGTAACATAATATCTGAGCAAAGGAGAGCTAACTGCTATTCATGACCTGGCAGCATTACAACATCACTACAAATCACAAAGCAATCAACAGTCACATGAAGAAAGAGAGTACAAAACAAAGCATACTGTAAGAAAATGCACCCATCTCTGTGAAAGACTGGGCTAGAATAATCAATTTAATCAATTCTGGCTGTTAGACCAAGTTTCTACCACTTGATCACAGTACTAAAATAATACAATTTTGTGGCACAACCATTTTCCTGTAATTAAAACCCCGCAAAAACCTACACAGAAAAATAAACATACCCCTCAAGAGAAAAAGCCCAAAGTAAGTTAGGTAACTAAGAAGCACCAAAGATGGTTTTAGGTGCATAGAGTATATCATAATTGAACTATTTCAGAAACAATATAAAGCTGTTTATGAGGAAAAAAATATATGTCTTAATACAGATATACAAAATAAGATGGCATGAATTTTCTTAGGAAGAGAGAATAACTTCAGCAGAGACACAAACTAGAGCCAGGAAAAAAGTTAACGAGGCATAGAGCACATTTGCTATGGGTGGGCCACAAATCTGGCTGTAAGCTTTTTGGCAGCTAACCAGAGAGCATTAAGTTAAACATTCACAATGTCCATAAGGTAAAAACAAAGCAATTGCTCAGAAGAGGTAAAAGCATTCTTTGTATTAAGCTTAGACAGTTTTTATTCAAGAAATTTTCATAAAAGACACAGTGTATCATAATGAATAATATGCCACAATATTTTTATAATAGATGAAGTCGTTTCAGAGGATTGTTTCTTAAAAGAATCCTTCATATCCAGCCTGATGGCAAATGAATAAACAGCATTCTAGTAAAAGCAAGTCTATGGAGGCTAGATACGCAGCTTGCTGCTGATCTGACTTAAGAGTAAATGAATATGAAAAGGGAATGACTTCTTATGCATCAAGCAAGTCTCCCTCAATCTGCCCCCCCATGCTTTCAATGAATACTGTGTAGTGGTAAATGCCATACTGTACTGTCTGGCAAATACTCGGAGACCTACTCTCTATGCTATCAGCTGAACTCAAATCCGTATCTTAATAGCCAAACCAACTAGGGACAGAAATCTACAAGGAGACCTGAAAAGACAGGCATCTCATCTTGGAGGGAGTGACCAAAAAGGCCAAGATTTCTTTCAAAAAAAGTTTTAGTGTTTTGATTTTGAAAATACCCAAAAGACAGACAATGGGTCAATCAAGGATCTGGCTCTATCCCACTGGATGGAAGGACTGCATGACTGCAATAGTTTAACCACAACAATCCTAAAGCAAATGGAACCAAACTGGCCTTTGGCCAAACCATCATTAGCAAAGAAAAACTCTAAACTTTACATCCGAAGACTTAAATTTTAGACTCAGTTCTGTCACTCATTGGCCATGTGATCATAAATAAACTACTTAATTTCTTTAAGCCTCAATATCCTCTTCTGTAAAGTGAGAATAATACATGACCTTTCTCACAGAGTATTTGTCAATATAAAATGAAGAAACACTGATAACTAAGATTTTTTAAAAAATGTAACATAAAGTAGTATTTCCAGACATCCATTGTGTCATGGAGAAATTTATATCCCAACAACAGGTAACTGTATTTCATTCAATAAATGTTTATTGAGTGTTTCCTCTGTGCTAGGGGCTGGAAATACAGAATGGGAATGAAATAGTCATAATTCTTACCCTCACTGAGCTTAAGCTCAGTGAAGTTATAATGTGGTTATAATGAAGACATCATAAATATACAATTTTTTTAGTCAATAAACACCTACTGAGAACCCAATTTTTTTTTTTTAAAGATTATTTGAGAGAGAGAGAGCATGTGAGAGATCATGAGCAGGGGGAGAGGAAGAGGGAGAAGCAGACCCCGCCCTTCCCTGCTGTGCAAGGAACCTGATGTGGGACTTGATCTCAGGACTCTGGGATTGTGACTGAGTCGAAGGCAGATGTTTAACTGACTGAGCCACCCAGGAACTCCTGAATACCCAATATTAGCTATTGTGGGAGATACCAAGATGTACAAGGTAGCTTATTGTCAATGAGATAAGAAACCCACAAGGGGCAGAAATAAAATGTATGGGAATTCAGAATAGGGAACAATGACCCCTGGCTAAGAGGGTGAAAGGGAAGGAGAGCTGAGATCAGGAACAACCTCACGGAGAAAGTGATGTAAAAGTGGGCTCTTGAAAGGCAGGTAGAGTTGGATGTATGGAGGAGGGCATTAGGAAGGTAAGAGACACAAGGGAAGTACCTTAAGAAGAGTGGTCCAGTCTGGCTGGAATGAAGTTAGAGTCAGGGTGCAGGTGAGGGTAGATGAAGATTATCAAAAGCTAAATGGTAATGGACTGAAGTCCAGGTGAAAGAGTTTGAAATTTATACTGGAGGAAATGGGAAGCCATTATGGCAAGGCTGGTGCTTTATTAAGTTTACTAATTCAGCTGTGGTATACAGGATTAATTGGTAGGGAGAGAATATGGAAAAAGACGGGCGCCTGGGTGGCTCAGTGGGTTAACACCTCTGCCCTCAGCTTGGGTCATGATCTCAGGGTCCTGGAATCGAGCCCCGCATTGGGTTCTCTGCTCAGCGGAGAGCCTGCTTCCTCCTCTCCCTCTGCCTGCCTCCCTGCCTACTTGTGATCTCTGTCTGTCAAATAAATAAATCTTAAAAAAAAAAAAAGAATATGGAAAAAGAGATCAAGTAGAATTTTATTGAGAGTGAAAGTGAAGATATAGGAGGAAATGACCTAAATCAGGGGAAATGGTAGTAGAAATGGGGAGGTAAGGAGGAAAAGGTACTGTAGACAGAGACTCAGTAAGTGATCAGAGAATAGTGGATAAGAGAGAAGAATTGGGAAATGGTCTGTAGGTTTTAGTTGGGGTGACTGAAAGGATGATGATCCCGTTATTAATGGGGTAGGGAAAGGGAGACAGAAAGGGACCTACCAAAAGAACCAAGAGCCATCTAGAACCATCCTAGGGATATTTCCTTTCTATATAGTGAGCACTGTGGTTGGTGTATCTGAGGTACAATAAATGTTTGCCAGAGGACTGAAGCATTTCAAAGAAAGGAGTCAGAACATATGGATTAAGGAAAACAAGATAAATAAGGCCTCTTAAGATGTTTGTATTGTCTTTCACAACCCCATTTTTGCTTTGGTTTTGTGTTTTTTCTGTTCTCTGTTAATTAATAGTAAATTCCTTCAGAAATAAGACCTATGTACTTGGTCTTGGTGGATGGTAAGGAAGATTGGGGAGTAAACTAAGGAGGCAGTAATCTCCCAATTCTATTTGTAAAGTCCCATAAATCATATTATAGTTCTATGTTTTGGAGTTAGGAGGCTTTGGGTCCAGGCTCTGACTTTGCCACTTGCCTATCTATGTGACTCTGGGCAAGTTATTTATTCTTTTTCTGGGCCTC